CACAGTACCCTTGGTAAACCAGGGCAGGGTGCCATTGATAAGACATGTTCTCTTCTGCCCCTCCTCTACAGGAAAGACTAGATTCTAAATAGATGTTTTCACAGTTGTCCTGTGTTAGAGACACTGCCCCTAACAGAAAGCTGGAGGCTGAGTGGATGGAGGAGCTCTCTGGGGACCCAGAGCTTGTGGGTTGAATGGGGTGGGGTGGGGTGCATGGGTTCCTGAGGCTGTTTCTATCTCTTCTGCTCCTGTCAGTGGGACCTCCTCCCTGGGGGTGGGGACACAGAGTGGCTTCCATTGACTCAGAAAGCCAGTGGGCTTCTTAGAGAGCCATGTCTCCTGAGCCAGTACAGGAAAACATTCAAAGGTGATCTAACTGAACCTGGACCTCTATTTCCCCAGGTGTGCTGCCTATTTGAGGTGGGAAAAGGGATGGCTTATCTTGCTATGGGTTGAACTATACACCTGACTAAGGGTCACTGTTTGAACATCTCCGCAGTCTATGTGACTGACGCCCAGGGCTCAGGGTACAACAGCAGGAGAGGTACAAGAAAAATGGACAGCAGTTAGGGTTTGGATAGGAAGCCTCTCCCTCCCACAGACTTACGTGTTGAAGGCCTCACACTTAGCTGGTTGCGGCGTTTCCGAGTCCTGGCCCTGACAGTCTTATCTAACAAAGCAGTCACATGATCACTATCACTCCAGTATCCTTGTCATCTCTGCTAGGGGCCTTGTACCTCTTTGACCAACCCTGGATTTCCTTTTCTCCAGTATCCCAGTACCCTGGGGGATGACCATCAACTTTTTGAGAACTGGCTCCTTGGAGCACAGCTGGACAGGACCATGGTGAAGAACTGGGTGGCTGAGGGTATGTCTAGAGAGGGGGAGGGTACTCAGCTGGCATTAGCTCTCTCAGAACCCAGAGGTGAGGGCACAGATGTTGACAAGACAGTGATTGACGGGGTCCCGTGCAGTTTCTTGGCTTTGAGGATCTTGGTTGTCAGGCCTCTAGGGGGCTAGGGTAGGTTCCCATGGCAACACCTGCCTAGCCTCTCTTCTTGTTCACTGGCTCCAGAGTCTTCTGAACTGGTGAAGCAGGAGGTTTCTGGGCTCCTCACTCTAACTTGGTTGGAGGAGAAGAAATACAAGGCCAATTCCAAGAGGCTGCTAATGTCACTTTTTAGGTCTTAGAAGCTGTGCGGTGCCACCTTTCACCTTTTACTTAGTTCCTGTTACTCCTGTCAACTTTAGGAGTGTGGTTCTGAAAACACTGCATGCCTCTGCCAGGGAGCTGCCAGGCCTGGGAAGTCTTAATTACTGCTTTCAGGTGATCTGCAGTTCCTCTGCATGCCAGGGAGAGACAAGGGCACTGAGCATTTGGTACAGTGGTAGAGGCTGGGTCTGGGCCTCTTCCCTACCATACTCTCACCCTGGAGTGAAGCCCATGCCAGGAGGGAGGTCTGAGCTGAGACAGCAACAACAGGCAGTCAAGCTTCCATATCATCCATGAGAGGATGAAAGACTCTTCGTTCTCTTGTAGACAGTGGTAAGCAGCCTCAGTACAGCCCTGTTCTTTTGCTATTACAAAATGCCCGAGGCTGGGTATTTCATAAAGACTTATATATAGAAGATGCTTATAAGTTTGCATTTCTGGAGATTCAAGAGCAAGGAGCCAGGATCTACTTGGCTTTGGTGGGGGCCTCATGCTATATGGCCTCATAATGGTGGGTATGTGCAAGGATGACAAGAAGAAGAATTCAGGAAGATTTCAGCTCCTTTGTAACAACTGACATTCTTGCAGGAATTAATCCAGTTCTGTCAGACCTTCATTAATCTCTTCCAAATATGGTTGCCCGCCCTTTCCTAATTAACTTTCCATGAGGCCTTGTGCCCTAAAGATTTTTCTTTTTTGACACGGCCACATAGAGGACTAAGCTTTCAACACACAAACCTCTCAGACACACTCAAATTGTATTCAAATGATAGCAGAAGCCTGTGAAGAAAATTGGGCAGGGAGTAATATTACCAGATTTGCCTTTAAGAAAAGAAGCAGAGCATGGACAGTCATGAAGGGCTGCAGCAAAGGTCTGGGACAGAGGAGAGTGTCCTCAGTAGAGAAAGAAGCAGGAGGAGTTTGGGACCCATTTTCAGAGGTGAGCTAGGAAAGGAGAGGAGTCTGGTGGATTTGCGTTGGTCAAGGGGTGAAGGATTTTACACAGGAGCGCAGCAAACTCAGGCGCTCTGTGACTTTCTTTTTTTCCCTATTTGAGAATCCTGCAGATGTCACTGATCGGCCACACAAGCACTATGACTCTGTAACTCTGTGTAATGTGTAATTATAGCAACACAGGCGTAAAATTACCAAGGACAAGGAGCTGTAGAGTAATTATACGATTCTTTGTTATTTGGATTTTTTTTTCCTTCTTTTAAAGCTGCTTCCATTAAGCACTCCCATTTGGTGGGTGGGTGGGGAGGGCAGGTGGCAGATGGGTAAGAAGATGAGTGACATTGAAGAGTGAGTTCGGCATTGCTAGGGTTCCGAGTGGGGGAGGAGGCTGAGGTGAGGGAAATCTGTGTGTCCCTTCAGCCTACGGTATTTCTGTCCCGCCATCCTTGCCCTTAGCAGCTTCACAGCAGATCCCCACCCCAACCCCTGTGGATTGGGGCAGAGCAAGGATCTGGGCCGGTTAGCTTTCACTGACCCTGGAATCACCATGAAGGAGAGTAGTATATGGTCTGTGAACCACGGCATTCTATCACAACTGAATCACATAGGCCGTAGTCACAGCTCAACTCCAACACCATGTACACCGCTGTCACAACTCACCTCCGACACCACTGTCACAGCTCAATGCTGACACCACAAATACCACTGTCATGGCTCAACTCTGACACCACACGCAGGGTGACTGAGAGTTTGAGGCTAGATAGAACTACATAGTGAGACCCTGTCTTTGAAAAAAAAAAGATTGATTCTGTATGTGGAGGTGGGTCAGCCTCTGTGGGGCTCATTGCCTTGGGTATATGGGGAAGGAGAACATCAGTTAGCAGATCTTTTTGACTCCTGTGTGTGGTGTCTGTGGATCTTCCTTTCCCAACTATTCCCAGCTGAAGGTATTTCAGCTTCTCTGGAGAAAGCTGTCCCTGTCCCCTGGCTGGGAGCACAGCCCTGTTTGCTTGAGTGGAGGCCGACTGTCTTGTTTCTCAGAATGCTGGCCTCAATGTCCAGTGCTGCCTCCTCTCTGCCTGTGGTCTGCGGGGACCCACTCCATATTTTCACGTCTTAATATTCTTGGAGGGTGGGGGAGAATTGGTCGTATAACTGGGTGGAGTTTGGGCAAAGGAGCCTTACATTTCCTCCTAGGGACATTAAAACAAGTTTCTTGGGGGGAGGCTGGGATTGTTGGCCCAGTTGGCAGAGTGCTCGACTCAACATGTAGGAAGTGCTGTGCATCAGAGGAACAGAACTGACAGAATAAATATATGTATTAAAAGGGAATTTGTTAGAGTGGCTTACAGACTGTGGTCTGGCTAGTTCATCAATGGCTGCCTCCTTTCAGAAAGGCCAAGATTCAGTCCATGGCTAGATTCCTTAGCTGGTCTTCAGTTTATGTTGGAATCCCCAAAATGCAGATTTTTTTTCCGTTTTTCCAGACAGGGTTTATCTGTGTAGCTTTGGCACCTTCCCTGGAACTCACTCTGTAGCCCAGGATGACCTCGAACTCACAGAGATCCACCTGCCTCTGCCTCCTGAGCGCTGGAATTAAAGGTGTGTGCCACCACTGCCCAGTTCCAAATGTAGATTTTTTTTAACACCAGCAAAGTAATGGGCCAGCAGAAGGAGAGATGAACTTGCCAGTAAGAGTGAAGGCGAGAAGGAAAAAGCAAAAGCTCCCTCTTCCAAGTTGTTTTATGTGGGCTGCCACCGGAAGGTGTAGCCCAGATTCTGAGTGGGTCTCACCACCTCAAAAGATCCAATCAAGAAAATCCCTGAGAGCCAAGCCCAGCTGCTTGGGTTTTAGTGGCTTCCATATGTAGTCAAGTCGACAACCAAGACTAGCCATCACACACTGGGTTCCACCCTCAGCTCCGTACGAAGCAAGCATGGCAGTTCATACCTGTAACCCCAGCACTTGGGACAGAGAGGCAGGAAGATCAAGGAGTCAAGATCATCACTGGTGATATAGTAAGTTTGAGACTGGCCTACATGAGACTCAGAATAAAACAGAACCATCTTCCGCTTCACCAACTCTTCATTTTCTTCCACTAGTATGGTCTGAATTTGTCTCTCAGGCCTTGCCCAAATACTTTTGAGGAAATCTGATCCCCAGTGTAATAGTGTTGAGAGGCGGGGCCTTTTCAGGAAGCTTAAGAGAGAACAAGGACCTTGCTCCTTATCAGGACTATGGTGGAGAGAGGTGTTTATTCTGTGAGGCCCCAGTGTGCCAGTTTGCCCAGTACCCCTGGTGATTCAGTCACTAATGTTTCTCTAAAGGTTTATCCTCCCACCAGAAGTGAACTATTTTCATGATGTCTGATGTTGATGCCAGTACTTAGGTGTAGGGATGGGGTAGCCTCAGACATCATTTAGTTATGACTGGGTTTAGTTATGTGGCATGAACTGTTGACTATGGGTATTTTCAATTTATGAAACTTTCAACTTATAACAGCTTCATGGAAGAAGGAACCCTGTGATGGCTTGGATTGAAAATGGCCCTCACAGGTTCATGCATTTGAATATTGGTTCCCTGGTGGCATAGTTTGGTGGCTACAGAGTCTTTAAGAGGCAAGGTGGTGCTGGAGGAGTTGGGAGACCCCTGAGGGTTGTAGTGCAGCCAGCTCTGACCCCAGGCTCTCTCTGCTTCCTGGTCCTCTGAAATTCAAGCAAGCACCTGCAAATTCCTGCTGCTGTAGCCTCAAGTTGTTCTGCTCCAGGGGGGTCTGCACCCTCAAACCGCAAGCTCCAACATACTCTTCCTCTCTTCCTCTGTTCCTGACAGGAATTTGGTCACAGCAGCAAGAAACATCACAGACACAACGGCAAACTGAAGGGCTTTTTGCTCAGGCTTCTCTTTTGAGCAGATCTCTCTGGTTGTAAAGTGAGTCACTGGGGGGCAGGGAATGGGGGGTGTTCAATACCTGGGGGCTGAGGGCCCAGCTGAGTGGGTTTCCTCAGCTCAGAATTGAGACTGTTCCTCGCAGGCTGGCTATGCTGATTCCCAGGCCCTCTCTTCCTCCCTTGCACAATTCTGTTTCTCCTGTGTTGTCAATCAAATAGACTGTATGGGAGACAAAACTGGCATTCTTTGTAGAAAATTATTATTTATTTTTTATTTCACAAAACCCAAGGTTGAGTGGATGCTCCGTGGTGCCCTTCAGTGGCAAGAGTGTTTTCCAGCTCTGGCTCAGGCCCGGCTGCTTATTATGCGAGCGTTGTATTATAAATGTGGAACAAATGGAGCCGAGATATCAAATTAATACTGTGATCTGCTTTCCTGTTCTGTTGCCATAACAGTGTGTGGCTCTTGAAGCAGAGAGAGGATTAGAATTGTATTAAAGGTGTTTACACCGTGTGTACTGCATCCTGCGTTGTTAGTCACTGCTATAATAGGTGTGTTGAACACTCACTTACGGAGGCTTGGCTGCTGCTGCATTCTTGTACTGGCGGTTTTCTGCCTGGCCTTCTGTCTTGGCCTTGCTTTTGATCCAGGCTTTTCTTATTGTCTGTGCAAGCGGGAAGGAGACGTATGACTTCATGACTCTTTATACTGGTCCTGTCCTTCTCAGTCTATGGGTCTGTCTGTCTGTCTGTCTCCATGACCCCTCTCTGTGAGTGTGTGTTTGTGAGTGTGTGTGTGTGTGTGTGTGTGTGTGTGTGTGTGTGTGTGTGCAGGTGTATGTGAAGGCCAAATGCTGATGTTGGGAATGTGCTTTCCACTTTATTCTCACTGCATCCAGAGCTCACAGATTCATCAAAACTATCTATTCTCTGCTGCTCAGGAGGGCTGAAGTTACAGGTGTGTGTGTGCCACCATGCCCAGTTTTGTTTTTTTTTTTTTAATGTGAGTTCTGGGGATCTGTCTTGCATGACAAGGACTTTACCAATGAAGCCATTTCCTTAGAGCCCTCCCTCTGTTGAGACAGGTCTCATGTAGCCCAGGCTGACTTCAAACCCACTATAGCCAAGGATGAGCTTGAAATTTTGGCCCTCTTACTCCATGTCCCCAGTGACGGGATTATAAGTGTGTACCATCATGCCCAGTTTTATGGGGTGCTGAGGACTGACCCTAGGGCTTTGTGTGTGCTAGGCAGGAGCACTACCAACTGAGCCATGCAAAACAGGAGCTCGATTAAGTTCTAATTTCTTTGTCCCATTTATGACCATTAAACCTTCCGAGGAGGGGAATTCAGAGGTAGGAAAAGGAGACATAATGTAGTATGTGGTCTCAGGAAGGGAGAAGTTGGAGGCCACGTTCCCCAACTCCCTCAGCCAGTGCTTGGCTGCTCAGAGCCATCTTTGAAGCTTTCTGTCCCAGTCATCCCAGGCTAGTGGCAGACTCACCACTGAGCAGTTATACCCCATGGGGATGCCCAACTCCTGTAACACTGGTATAGAAAGGTCTTTGAGGGCAGGGGCTTTTCTCCATGTGTACACCTGTGTGTGTCCATGTGTGCCTGTGTGCCGTGTGTGGTGTGTGTGTTCAGGCCAGGTGGGCTGGGTATCTTTTGAGTTTGCTCTGCACTGTTTTTGGAGACAGGGCCTCTCACTGATGTCTGAGCCTCCCTGGCACTGGCTGGATCACAGGCATTGCGGTACATGACTTCTGCATGTGTTCTAGGGCTTGAACTCCAGTCCTCACTTGGACAGCAAGCACATTACTGACTGAGCCTTGGCCTTCTACACCAGAGATTCTGCCCGGTGGTGAGGGCTACAGATGCCTGGGACAAGAAGAGAGCATGTGTTAAGGTCCTGCCCTCACTCCCGCACATGCGCAGCTCAGAGTCTTGTGTCTTACATCATCAGTGGGCACTGGTGACTATGTCCCCCACCTTAAAAAGCCAGATGTGGACCCCCACCCTCTCTCTCTGTTCTCTGCTCTCTCTCTGCTCTGCTCCCCGCTTCCCTCCCCCACCAGGCCTGGCTCTCCTCTCTTTCCCTCCTCCCCTTTCCCTCCTAATAAAGCTCTAAAACTAACAGTGGGTTCTGTCGTGACTGTGACCTTTCCACGTGGCAATCAGCGCCGCCACCAGCACCGCCACCAGCGCCATTTACCTATCTTTCAGTATGTGCTGTCTGTATTTGTGTGCTACTGCACAGGGCCAGTCAGATCTCAAGGCCTGGACAGGATACACTGAAACCTAGGACGAGCCCTGGACACTCCAGTGACAGAGGTGAGAGAGTCTGCTAGGACTAGGCAAAAAGTTAACCTTTCTCACAAGGACAATATTATTCTTTTTCTCAACACCCCTCCCCCCCACCAAGATTATACACGATGAAAAGTACAAAAAGAGTTTGGGAGGTTCAGGTTGCTATGTGTTTGGTCATAGTGCTATTAAAGGAGGCAGCTGCTTGTGACTATGGAAACGTCAATGGTAAGGAAGGAGAATGGAAAGGAAGGAATATTAACTTGGGCTCAGGAAGGGAAGGTGTTTAGGAAGGCTGGAAGTGACAGGGGACTGTAAGACGGTAGGGTGAGCTTGTGGTAGAGTTGACATGAAGTGTTCTGTTGAAAGGTTTGGACCTTGCAGTGTGGACTCTGTTGCATGGTCCAGATCTGGGGCTTTTTAAAAGTTATTGGATCATGAGGGATTAATCGATGGATGGATTCATAATTGAACAGACTATTGATATGTGGGGAAACTATGGAAGGTGGGGCTTGGGTGGAGGAAATAATTTTCTGGTGTGTGCCTTGGAGGGTCCATCTTATCCCTGGTCTCATCTCTCTATTTCCTGTGTGAGTTGACTTCCTCTGCTAAGGCCATCCTTCATAATGCCCTGTTTTACCACAGGCCCAGGAACACTGGAGCCAGCCAGACTGAGTCTTTGGAGACGAGGAACCCAAACCCATTTTCCCTCCTCTGTAGCATGAATCTTAAAAGTTCCTATTAATAAAATCAAACCCGGAGCCAGGTATTGGGGTGAATGCTGGAAGATCAGAGAAACAGAACAAGCCACAGCCACCTCACCTTGCCAGTTCCTCAGCTGATCCTATTTCCTCAGACTGGAAACCTCTGTGTCCTCATCTGGAATGAATCTCAGCTGAACTGTTGCTCAAAAGCCTTAAAGCTTAACCAGCTAGTTCCTGGTTTTCTCGCCTTATATACCTTTCTGCTTCCTGTCATCACTTCCTGGGATTAAAGGCTCACTTCGTGGAATTAAAGGCGTGAGTCACCATGCCTGGCTGTTTCCAGCGTGGCTTTAAACTCACAGAGATCCAGATGGATCTCTGCCTCCAGAAGGCTAGGATTAAAGGTGTTAGTGCCACCATTTTCTGGCCTCTATCTCTGTCTAGTGGCTGTTCTGTTCTCTGACCCCAGATGAATTTATTAGGGTACACAATATTTTGGGGAACACAATATCACCACACTCCTCTACATGGTTTTTATTTAGTATTTTGTTAGAGCAATGAAAAAGTGACATTGGGCGTATCTTTATGAAAAGCTAATTGTGCCTTTCAGAGTGTCATTGTCATGGAGTCCTGGGGGCAGGGACACCTCTGTAACTAGGGATAGGTGAGGCAAGGTTTTTGCTGTTCTGACAACCTCAGTCACTGTGTTCCATCTTACACACGCTCTCTGTCATGCACAGACATGGCCATAGCTGCTGCTTTTTTACTAATGGGTCTAAATTGCTTAGGAATGTCACAGATGCTGCTGTAGTCAAGCCACCAGTTCTGACTCAGCCAGAACAGTGTGTGGGTGGAGGCGAGGAAGGCGCTAGGGCTTCGCTCAACTCTTTCTGGCTGAATTTTCTTTTGCTCTTGTGGCCTGCATGTCCACTACTGAAAGAATCCAGGAGAGCAGGTTGTGGTGACCGTGCATGCAGAAGCGTGCGCTTCTCAGCACATGCAACGCATGATGATTTAGTGTTTTCAAATAAATGCCTTGAGATACCCAGCTCCATGGGTTTAGCAAATAAAAGGCCCCTCTTCTTCTTTTTTCTTAAGTTCATGAAAGGTGTGCATTTTGAGGGGGGAAACCACACTGTGAATATAAACGCGATCTCCTGTCTACCAAGGGCAAACATAGACCATTTATCTCTTGGCATTACTCCAATGGAGGGTACTAAAAAAAGAGACCCATGTTTGCCCAAAGGATGGCTGTCAGACTTAGCAAATAGAAATATAGGATGCCAAATTAAACTTGAATAAGACAAGCAGCAACAAAATTTTAGCAAAAGTAATATCCCATACAGTATTTGGCACATACTTATGCTATAAAATGACTTGGTATTTTTCTGGAATTCGAATGTAATTGGGTATCGTAAATTTTCCATTATGCTCTTACCTTCAGTAAGAGTGAGATCAAAGAACAAAATGCCAAGTGCTTGACGTTACAGCTTAGGAGCCCAGGACCCGGCTACAGCACTCCTGGGTATACATGCTCAAAAGCATCTAAGTCAGGACATTGCTATGATATCTGCACACCCATGTTTGCTATGTTGCTGCTCACACAACAGACAGGCGACGGTGGAGTCAGCTGAGGTGCCCTTTGCCAGCTGAACAGGTAAGGAGCATGAGATCCACAGACATCATAAGGTTTTACTTGGCAACAAACAAGAATGAAATTAGGTCACTTTTAGGAACATGGATGGAACTAGAGATCATGTGTTAAGTGAAATAAGCCAGGCCCCAGAAGACAACTGTTGCGTGTTTTTTTTTAAAAAAACATGGAATCTAGATGAAAACAAAGAAAGTAGAAGGGAGACTAATTGGGAAGAAAAGGGGACCATTGGTGAGGGGAGAGATAAGAGAGTCAATAAGGGGGTGAATATGATCAAAATAACTGGTACACATACATGAGATGGTGACTAATCCCCCCTCCCTCACGCTTTTTGAAACGAAGTCTTACCGTGTAGCTCTGGCTGGAACTCACTCTGTAGACCAGGCCGGCCTCGGACTCACAGAGATCTGTCTACCCCTGCCTCCCCAGTATTGAGATTAGAAGCTGTACACCTCCATGCCCTGTGGAACCTATTATTATTATTTTTTTTACTAAGTTGGAAATACTGAAAGACATTGGGTTGACTTTGTTTTCCTGCCTCCGATGGGAAAACTCTGGAATGGGGATGACACAGAGGGCTGGAGTCGGGCAGTGGGGGAAGGTCACGGCTTCCCGCCTTTTTCTTTGCTGCCCACAGACCAGAAGAGATGGAGGATACAGGAGTCTTTACAAATGATGTTTGCTTCCCCGGACCTCTGGGAGGGTTAAATGAGAGACTAGGACAGAGTTCCTAAGGCTCAGTGCCCGGCACACTGCAGAGGTGTCGAATACTGTGTGTGTTGGGCGTGAGAGGCAATTTGTATCTATTTGTTCTACCTCGTCTGTTGGAGTAAAATCACCTGTCGGAGACGAGCCTTTCGTGGCTGCAGGTGGCCTCCTGCTGTTTAGCTGTGTCAGGATGGCTGCATTCTGCCCCGGTGCCCGAGCTGGAATGAATGGTACACATGGCTTCCGTTTGCGTGTGGAACTTGTTAGGAGGCTCTTGGTGCAGAGGCGGCATCTTGGTTGCGCGCATCAGAGCAGGTGCAGGCTGAGGAGTGATGTGGCCTGGGGCCAGGCTATGGTCCGGCCCAGGGTTGTTTCACAATGTCCCCTGCGCTTCCCAGTCTCACCTGGGCGAGACTGCACCCTGCACCGTTTCATGGGCACACCACAGCTGGCATCTGTTTTTGGTTAAGCCGGTTAGCCTCAAGGTGGGAGTCAGACAAACAGAACAGGGTTTCATTCAGGGAAGGACGTGACTGATGGTGTCTGATGAGTGCTGTGCTTCAAGAGAGGAGAGGCAGCTAACTGGATGAGCCAGTCCGGCCTGGAGATTCCGCCAAACCACTGGGACTAGAAAGGAGCAGGGCTCCGCGTGGGGAATTTTACTGTGGATTTGATAGAGCTGCTTTGACATAAGTGTGACAGAAGGAAAAACATGTTTTTTCCCCCTTTTTATTACAAAGTAATGTGTACAACAGATACCGCAGACTCTGTACCTATTCCAAACTCCATCCCTCTGCCTCAGTGAACTTCAGGGATGCTGCATTCAGTCCAAGGAAGGGATGAAGGGATGAGAGCATCAGGGACGGAGTGAAGGTATTTGATGCAATTATTGGTAATTTGAGCATATACTGTGTGTGTGTGTGTGTGTGTGTGTGTGTGTGTGTGTGTGTGTGCGCTGGGGACTGAACCCAGGCCCTCATTCATGTGAGGGCTATCACTGAGCTGTAACCTCAGCCCAATGTTCCAGTTAAAAATTGAACTGTATTCCTTATTCCTATGCTAGGTTGCCATATTATATGGTTTTAACTTGACTGCCACTATCATGAATTGTATCTATCACAGTTGCCCCTGAGGACCCTGGTTGACTTTTCCCTCATAATAACTTTTCATACTGGAAGAAGGTAAGACATCAGAGTACTGTGTGGAGTTTTACCAGCATGTGAAGTCTAACTCTTTTATTAGCAGGAGACATATGAGGTGGATTCTGGCTTAGGCAAAGTCTTTTTTTTTTTTTTTTTTCTGACCACCATTGACCCAAATTGCAGGGGTAGACCTGACTTGTTCGCTGTGCAGAACCATTTCCATCAGGAAGTCCCCATCAATGGCACTTTGCAACCCTGGGTCCCCTTGTCTCCCTTCCTAGATTCTAGGGGACATTAGGGTCTGTTTTTCATATGCCGAAAGTCAATGTTTTGGAATACATACTACATAGTTTCATGGATTGAAAGGAATTTGGCAATCTCTAGCCATCATGGAACAAGGAGAAGGGACCCAGTCTGTCTTCATCAGTAGAAAGCTCAGGCCTCTGTCACGCACTGGGGAGAGGCAGGAAAGGAAGAGTTACAGCTTCAAGATGTTATCATCCCTGTTGCCCAGAGTATTCATGATACAAC